AGTCCCTTCCTCTCCTTGAGGTTAAGTCCCAAGCATTTAAAATGGATAACTCATTTAAATGTCTTCCCAATGACATGAGTGCCAACATTTCGACGCAGAAACAATTTTCACCGGCATTCACCGATGACCGCCGCAGATCTGGCTCTTTCCAGTATTGAAGCGAGGGAAGTTTTCTTTGATTTACCCAGCGACGGATATTGCTGAACGTTTCACCTTTCAGGACTTTCTGATCTACCCAGCCACTGCACTTTCTGTGTATGGGTAATCCATGCCTGTCACTTCCTATTCGCAGTAATGTCCATGTTCGCCATCTCATACGAGGAGAATGGGAAAGAAGCTGCAGACTGTGCTTGTCTCGATTCGAGGAACTGGTCGATTCAATCGACAATCTTAGTGACCAAGCTCCAACAATTTTCCGTGAGAGCGAAGGCTTTCTGAACTGTCCACATGAAACATCTTTGGGTGGTAGCCACATAGCCGTCACTAGTGTGGGTTGGCCTCAAAAAGAAAACCTATAGCCTTGCTGAACAAGGGTTTTATTTCAGACCCAGATCTCATGAGCGAAGGGTTTCTAACCATTGTGATACTGGTCGTGGACGACTACAACGAGATATCGTGATACAAATGGCGACTGGGTTCGAACGCTTTGTTTCCCAGTAGACGCTCATGGATGGGGAAGTGAGAAATAAATCTCTTTTCATCTCGTTTTAAAGTCAAAGAATTAACTAGGGGAGGGGGCATGCTTTAGGCATAAATTGCTTCACCTGATACGCTCCTCGTGCCCTTCCTGAAATATTTAGAGAGCGCTAAATATAGTTCTACTGGCGAGATTCAAAAGCAGCACAAATTTTTCGGACACCCTAACGGAATGACTCTTGTTGGGAACTAGAAAGGTTCAGCTCCAACCAATGGTTTCTGAAATAGAATTGAAAATATTGTATTTACTGGGTGCAATGAGTCTCATAGAGGAAAAGCAAGTGCCAGTTATAGCACTTACTCGTTAGAGGCACAACACAGAATTAGGTCAGTGGATTGGAGCCCCTCTGAGCAAAAGGAAGAAAGATAGGCAGACATTTGTTTGATCGACTCCGCTCCACAAAATTCTTATTCAAAAGCGCTAGGGCTTGAAGTTGCACACGAGGTTCCACCCAGCACCCCGGCTTCCGCCTACTAGTTGATTCTATGGGCCAAACCCTTTTCTGCTCGTATCCATGTTTTCTCCTCTCCAACTCTTCTCCTTCTCCACGGCGCTTAGAAACTCGCGTCTCGCTGTTTATTTCTCGGTTTCCTCAAGGGCCTTGAGTAAAGAATCCTGTTTTCAAATTTTGCGATCTAACAGTGGAACACTAACTAACGCTTCCACTGTTTGACTAGGTGATTTTTGCTCAATTCATTTATATCCTAATTCGTCCGAACCAATATACAATTATTTTAATGCATGTTCTCTGCATGATTTGTACTCAGTTCAAGTTCTTCTCGTCTTTCCCCAGTGTTAAAAAATCGATAAACTTCCACAAATATTGCGATTGATACGCGTTTTTTCCTCACCGACACGGACAGGATCAGAGAATATTTTATTCTCTTTTTATACCTCAAACTTGGGTAATTAAACGACGAAATAAACTTTCAACATAAAACGTATACATTAGCGAACAAAATGAACCCGAACATCATTGGAATGCATCATGAAAGAAAATTCCTTAACAACAAATGATCCTAAAACATCCTATCACTATTCCCTTGATGCGCGCGCCTGTTGTTGACCCTGGTGATCCATTTCCTTTCTTATATGACGAAAAAATGTCGCTTTAGTCCATCGAAAGAACCTTATGATTCGAAGATGAATATTCCAAAAGAGGTCCTGATGAGGGTGAGGGAATATGACTGCTCCGACTTGACGAAACTGAGCAGCAGCCGGATTACATTGTTTATCATACGACTAGCCAACACACCGTAAACAACGGCACGTAAGCGAATAGAAAGGGCGATAAGAGATTTTGCTATTTTCATGAACCTCGATCACATTGACACAAAACGTACTTGGATAAATAGCACCATGACTATGTTCACCCTCAATCAGTTGGTTTTTTGAGATTGTGACAGTTTAGTGACAAGTCCCCTAATTGAAATTTGTTTCACTCCAGCAAGAGGAGCGACGCGACTTCTCACTCTAGGACCGAGATTGATTTTCTCAAATCGATGTAAGATGTTCCCGGAAGATTTACTCCCTTTTACATAAGCGAAAGCTCCCTTGCCTAGAGAAAAATCGGTGAAGATTGTAATTGTTTTCTTCAAGAAACTCTTCTGCGTTGATTGGATCGCAAATTCAAGTATCCACGCGACAAGAATTCCTACATATTCCATTTCCCAATTCGACTAGCGCACAATGGGTTCTTTCCAGTGGGACTGTTGAGAAATGGGTTCAGATTGACGGGCTAGAGAGCCGAAATGATGAACAAGTCTTCAAACGTATGAAGAAATGAAGTAAAATACGATGATAAAGATAAGAAATTATCAATTTGGTTTGATTTTGGGCTCGGTGTGCCGAATCCCGCTCGAACAATCTTTTCCGCGCAGGACCTTCTCTGATCCGGCACACCGAGTCCTTTAATGATACCCCTACTTTTTGCTGTTTTTTCGTCCATCTCGGCCTTCGTTGACTATTTTGATCGCGAAACCGCGATAAGTGTATTTATTTCGCCAGTCCCAACTCAATAATGAGCAGGATTGACGAATAAGGTTCATTGGAGGAATGGGCGCAAATCATTTAGTTATTTCGTTTATAAAGGTTTTACCTTCCTTAATTTGTTTACATACTGGCTTATGCTTGGGCCTATGATTAGCCCTAGGCTTAGTCATAGGCTTCCTTTCGAGCATGAGCGATGTTTTCATTTTAGGTGACAAGACCTTAGGCGGAGAAGTGAAGCGCACCTGAGCGCTGGCAACAGACAAGGCACCACCCCTTGCCGCGCATTTCTGAGTTGGCGACCACAAAGAGGCAATAAGTGTGCTGCACCAATTGCGGAATATGTTGCGTAGCAGGTAATGGCACGGGGATGGCATTAAAATGCCTGCAATGGTCATCATTCGTAGGCGCTGTTTAGCGAGAGGCTGATATAGAAGCACGAGTTTCTCTGCCTGCTCTCAAATTCGAAAAAGACAAAAAAAGTCGCTGAGATAGCATCGCTTCGGAACCCTTCACTAAATACCAATCACGATGAGGAATAAGAATAACTTTCCGTGGTGGCTAAACTTGTAGCCTAAATGATAGTTTACCCGTAGTGCCATTGGCGTTTGGAATGGTGATTTGAGGCCATGCGCCAACCACGCGACCTCAAAAACGATGGTTATCGTGGGATGTTCGTGGTGACAAGTGGCTCACTCAATAATTCACCATTTGACCTCATTCGCCCCGTAGTCAGACCATATGTGTGACTCTCTCAACAAAAATGTGAACATTGCTTGCATCAAACCGCGCACAGCGGAGGAAATAACCACGTTCAACCATGAGCGGGGTATGCTTTCGAATTATATTAGGTTGGTAGTCTTGCAACAAATTACATTTAATGCTAGAGAATTTTTGTGAGAACTCCGAAAATCCGCAACATGTTTGTTGACGTAGCATCCACCTTTGCAATTTCAGCCAACCGTCCAGCTCGTTGTCTCGCTACTTGTTATGGATATTACACCGATTTCGCGAAAAGCTCTTCGTGCCCTTAATTTTTACGAGTACTGCTTGGAATGTTCCGCAAGTCATGCTACACCAAGGATTGCCAGAAGATGGGCGAGGGCACGCTCTCTCAATTCACGTGCAACGGCGCTTCACTCTGCTCAGCGTTGACTTTTTTATTTGAAAATGATCCACACTCCAACCACCCCGTGACTGACAATCACGATGCTCTATCTGACGCTGTTGAAAAGGGATCTGGATAGACTATCGATCATTTGCTAGAGCGATTCCGATGCGACAAGGAGACAGCACTGGCATCTCCAAAGACTTGTGAAGATCCGAAAATATAGAGTTTGGTCCCCACATGCCTTGAGCCCGATTCAGCTCCAAACACGATCTGACATCGTCATGTTCAAGTCGACTTACTATGGATTCTTCGATTGACCATCCATCACATTTGCCGAAGATGAGGAGTGGGTACAGTGTGCTAACAAATAAACAAGCGGCGATAGTCCAGCTCAAACGCTTTGGGAGTTCTTACTGCTAAGTTCAACCTCGTCCAAGTAGGGCCTTCTCGGATTTTTGGTGGAACACGAGAGGAGTTGAGCTCTGGAAACCCCTCGTGTAGATGTCGCAGTCAACGCGGAAGTCAACCGTCCACAGCTCGAATGCAACGCTTTTAATACGAAAGAAAAACAAGGCAAAGTTTGCTTTTTATGACACCGTTGAACCACCTCTTGCTAAGAAAATCCAGGAAAATTTTGAGACTCTCGGACGGAGAGTTCTTCCGTATCCACCTTATAGCCCTGACCTCGTGCCAAAGGATGCCCACCTGCTTCCCCTCTCCAGACCACCTCCTAGAGAAGAAATCTCATCCTAACCATCATGATGTCAAAATCGACATCTGATCTTTCTTCGATCAGAATTCAGTGGAGTTCTACAGAGAGGCATCGAACAGCTTCTAGTGCGTTGGCAATAGGTTGTAGATATTGATGGTGGGTATCATGCTGGATGAATGGAACAAAAAGATAATAAAAATATTAAAATCAAAATTTAGCCAGTTTGTTGCAAGACTTATGGACCAACCTAATAGATTTTCCTTTATTCAACGGTAATTAATTGAATCCGTGGAGTGTAAACGTACTAACGTTTGCTCACTAAACAGACGGGACTGGCAAATGAAAGGTAGCAATTTTATTACAACTTAAACGCCTAGTCGCATTACATTTGTTAAGAAAAGACCTGACCACGAATAAATGACTGGAACGTGAGATGAAACACCGGTGCTACATAAGTTCGATTGTGCTGTATATACAAGAGACACAAGTCGCTATCTAGGCGTGCTCTGAGAGCGACTTGATGCTCGGCTATGAGATGAATCCAGTGAGCTATCCCTAGATCGAACAGACGTATTCGCGTCCGAGCATAACGCAGAGCGCGGCACGCGACGACGTAGAGTAACATGATCCCTGGAAAGCAATATTTTTTTGTTGTACAGTTTTCACATATTCTAAAAATCATCTTGTTACTGTAATTTTTGGCCACCCTATAGACACACTATTACTACCAATACACAAATGACTTACCTGGAATCTCTGATGTTTTCTGGAGCTGACATGTTGTTCCCTAAATAGCATACTAGTATCAAAAAAAAAACTGAAAAGATCTGCAATGGAAATACTAATATTCCTCAAGTCATTCTAAAAAGTTGTCGGTTTTGTTAACTCTTGTGTGCACCACTTAACAATGTACAGAACTTGGATGGGTATGATGTCACTGCGTCGCCCGTCTGGCTTTTTTTGTTGAGGTTTGTTAGGCTGTATTTTCAAAAAACGAGAGGT